TGAATTGAAATGAAAGACTATGGAGGGTGTGGATGGGTGTGGTTGTGGACGCTGGGTGAATTGAAGATCTGTACTCACATTCACACCCACACTCACACTCACACCCACACTCACACTCACACCCACACCCACACTCACACCTACACTTATATCCACACTCACACCCACACCCACACCCACATCCATATCCACACCCACACCCACACCCATCTTTTCATTGATTTCTAAGGGCTAAGTAATAATTCTTAACTTGATTTTAAGTGAGAATAAATGCTATACTGCTAGTATTTAGGTTAATAGATCTAACTTGGAAAAAATGGTTGACACTGAACCGTTACTTTCGAGACCTCAAATCTACTCTTCTGAGCATGATACTCAAAAGAGAAAAAGCAAAATTAGTAGCAAGTAAGTGTAGGACAAGTGACGCAGTCTAAATATCGTAAAATGTGCTTGATTTATCTTAGCCTATTTAAACTACATCGACTTTTTCAATGCAAGAAGAGTGATGATGAATACGAGAATCTGGATGGTAATCGAAAAGATATTAACAAAGGAGAATCGATCAACTTCTTAGAGCCAGTACGTCTGTTTAAAAATATTTTATTCATTGAATTATGCGTTTTATTTCACCATAGTTTCGATTTGCTGATCGAATTGATCTCCTTTTAATTTGCATTGGCTTGATTTGTATCATACTGCAAGCTGTCTGCTTTGTTGCGATTTTCATTATTTTTGGTAGACTCACGGGAACATTTGTTGAAATGTCATTTTCTGAAAAATGTCCAGAAGTACAACGAAATTTGTCGATCACTAGAACAAGTAGCAATGAAGGCCCATTCGGTATCAATCTAACTATATCGAGCTATGGTCAACTACAAAGGTTAACGACTGCTTGTTTTCTCTGGCTTATATTTGCTTATGTGTTTTTCGTTTATTTTAGGCTGTGCAAAAATTATAACTTTACAACATCTGCATCATCGGTTTCACCTCTATCTAGAGCTCGAATTCAAGCGACCAAATTTATTCGTTGGCTTGTAGGTAAATAGAAAAGACATAATGCATCGATCGATTAGGAAATGCTTTTATCTATTTTTGATACTTAGTAATTTCTTTTGCACAATTCGTGATCACATTTCTCGAATATTATACCTTCGCAGTGTCTGCTAAGAGACAGGCATGCCGTATTAGTGTGTGCATCTTTCAATCAATTATCCAGCGGGTATGTGAAAAAAAATCAGATATGGATAATGTGCTGCAATAAATTACCGTTTCTCCAGTCAATTCAAAAATGTTTCTTTTATACGCTCAATACAGCTCTTACTCTAAAAAAATCAGTTTATTATCCAAGTTCAAACCACTCATATTTTAGTACCGAACTACTTTAGGTTCGGTGAAATGAAAATTGTTCCATTGGTAGCCTCTGGATCTTTTCCTAATTCAGTGGATTTCATAAGGCTTCGTGAATTTAGCATGAAATCTCCTATGAGCTCAATCGATTGGTTTGTGACTTCTTACATCATGGAATGAACCATTGTCACTTTTGTAGAATATCACAAGGTATCATAATATGTTGATAGAACTGCACTTAGTTAGGGTTGGCCAAAAGTTTTGATCCCAATGTTTAAATGACTCTACCAGATGATTTGACCTATTCAAAAATGAAAAACTAAATACTCCATATTATACAACTTCTTGAGGTACGTTTAACGGTATTTAGTAAATCCTGGTTTCATAAGACTTAAAAGGAACTAAAATCAATTGACTGACAGGTGGCTACACACCCAGAGGTGAAAAGCAGATTTTGGCATCTAAAATCTTCTAAAACCTTAAAAACCTTGCAAAATCTTTCGAAATCTTCCAATCTTAAAATCTGATTTTTTCCCCTTACTACATACCCACATCCTCAATTTCCTCGTATCCAAGATAAGATGACTAATAATGCTATATATATGTGGTTGTCGCCTCTCAAAAACTCTACGAAGTAGTGTGCAGAAAAAATATTTTACAAATACTGTCGACTCATACCAAAGACAACAATGTTCAGTAAATTATTATGTTTAGATGTGAATGTGTAGTCGTTTATTAGTAAAATGACTCTAGTCTTTCCAAGTCTTATGAAAACAGGATTTACTATATACCATTCGATGCAATTCAACAAGTTCTAAAACATGTTAGATTTGGTTTTTGATTTCTGAATATGCCATCTTATCCGACAGAGTATTTAAAATAGCGGGATCAAAATTTTTGGTTAACCGTAAGTAGTTTCGTTGTCTATACAAAGGTTCTGTCTTTTTCTTGCAACGCCATCAATAGTTCCAAAGAAAAGCCAAATATTTCGCATCAGACACCGAAAACAAGTCGAGCGAGACGTTTTTAAAATGTGTCGAGTCGAAGTTGACTCGGGGAACTCGACTTTTTCGAAAATTTTCAGTAACTCTTTGACTTCTTTCTTGGTATTAGACGTCATTATTGTTTGACAAATTCTTATAATACAATATCCATTCATTGAAATATATCAGTCGAACAAAGTAATAGAATAGAGAGCTTCATGAACTGAGGTATTAAATAAACTAAAATGAAGAATTTACATTGACTTTCATTGTATTCAATATATCATTGTCTATTGAGAGATTAATTAGTCCACGATGAACCAATCACGAGTCTATATAGGTAATCAGTACATGCAACGTCTGACAGAATTGTTCTTATTCTTTTCGACTCCATGCTTGTTCAATGATCACACATCTGCTGTACAAATTTTAATCATTATTTTTTCGAGTATGTCGATCGATTGAACATCAATTCAGTGCAGCTGGACAGACTGTGACTCAGAGGCGCTCAAATTTTGATATTTCAGCGGTCAATAATTTGATTTTCTTGCGTTCTTTCGAGAACAACAAGCGATTAATCTAGCTAAAGTTTATTCTTTTGACTCATTCTTGTGAAGTTTGTTAACTTTGTCACTTAGTATTGTTATGAAATAAAATATGATTTTAAAAATTCGTTGCTTGAATCGAGGCTCAACAACTTGACTCATGTCGAGTTGAGTCGAATATTTTGTGACTCGTTTCTGTCCCTGTTTCGCATTACGTGTTTTACCTACTCGCTACTTCATCAACTATTTGAAGTTTTTTTATGTTTTACACGAAACAGTTGATAGCTGCATAGATCATTCGAAAGTTTCGTAGTTTTCTTAGAAAATTTGCAAACTTTTGATAAGTATTTATAAGTTTTGTATACTTCGTACGAAAATATATGCTTTTGTAAACTATCGAAAGTTTTTAAATTCTTTTTTTCTAAACACGATAGGTTCAGCATTAACTTCGCTATTTAACCCTTAAAAGCCGAATTTCCTTTTCAAAAAACATTGCGAAAATATCAATAAAACATGCAATAAGACTGTGTATACAAGACTATTTGTTTTCTTCGAAGCAGATGATATTATAGGTCGTAAAAAAGAGAAAAATCAATTCTGAGTAACCATCATACGAAACGATGAGCTTTTTACGAATTGTGATTTTTGAAATATCTTTTTCTTGATGAATACGAGAAGAATACTTGTTTTTTTATGTGATTTCAAGAGGCGCCTCATTCGACTACGGATAAAACTATCTCACAATGTTTTCAACGATCTATTGATGCACTATGACATGATGAAGGAAATGTCCCTTGGAAAGGACTTTCGGTCATAACGGGTGTGAATGGGTGTTGATTTTATTTTCAACATATTCCCATGCATACTTCACACCCACCCACGCACCCACGTTCCTATTCACACCCACTCACACCTATCTAGAGCCACGCACATCCCCACATTCATACTGTAGTACGCTTCAACTCGGTTGCTGAGCTTCTTACTTTAAAAACAAAGACATTTAACAGTATCTTCAATAAAATTTAATCGAATTAATTAAATTAGAATATAGGAATTTAAATTTTTATGTTATAGATGCTTATGACTTGTCTTCTTGATACTGAATAGTCACTTTCATGAGTTCTTGTGAATGTTCAGAATTGAAGAAAAACAGAGTGGTACATATATTGAACGGATAACTTATCATCTATTTTTTTACTGATGAAAATTGCGTACAATTCAAAGTCACGTATATATTTTGAAAGTTAGGGTTTTTCAAGTTTTTAATTAAACGAGAAAGCTGTTTAAATGAAATTTCTCAATATTTATGGAGCGCATTGCTAGTAAAAGCAAAACTGAAGAGACGCGTGTTCAAGATATTTTGCTATACCTGTCATATTGGTTCAATAACAAAAATAGCCAATAAAACTTGAGAATAGCCAGCTAGATAACAACTTTTCCTAGAAGAATCCTGTCGAGAATTTAGCATGAAGCACTTGTGGTAGAACAATCAGTAAACTTGTTATTCGGTAGTATAGATCAAACCGATTATTAGAACTTGCACGCTAAATTTATTTCGAAAGGAAAGGGATAGACACAATAACTTAGGAATAATGCCTATTTTGTTTCTTTTCAAATTTGCTGTTTTAGACCATTCCGTATTTTGATACACGTACGACGGGACAACTGTACACAAAACTGTCCGAGTATGTTTTCACATGTATTAACGATGCATTCATACGATAGCTTTTTCTCATAGAAACGTTGATACAATCGGAAGAGGCATCAGCTTCAATTTTGCGGTAATGCTTGAAGTGTCTCTAGCTGCTTTACTCAATATTATCGTAACTTTCTTTATTAATTGGAGATTAACCTTAATCCTGTCGTTCTTTTTACCATTGATCCTTGGTAGTTCTTATCTTTTTTCTAAAGTATGTATTTGCATTTTGTATTACTTTAGTTTTTATTATTTCTAATAGTTAATCATTCGCGAAACAGAGAACGAATTAAATATATATTCGAGAGCAGGAGAAGTTGCTCAAGAAGTATTCAGCTCTATTCGTACGGTGTTTTCATTTAATGGTAGCGAGTTTGAAAAAAAACGGTCAGTGAATATTTACAGCCTCAACTTACTTCGGATAATCTCATGAATGTTATTATCCCAATTGTTTACAGATATGAAAAAGAGTTGGCTGCGACTCAATTGAGTAGCGTACGCAAAAGTGTGGCGTACGGTCTTTATCTTGGTTGGGGCTATTTCACAACATATATAATCTATGCAATTGGTTTTATTTGTGGTCTATTACTTATACATCATGTAGGACGTCACAAAATCTCTGTAAGTGATGTCATTGTGGTAAGTTATTACTTGTTATATCTATAATAAATCAACTATCTTATGCTGCTGACTGTAAATAGGTAGTGATCAGCCTTGGAGAAAATATCACTTATGTTTACTTAATTGGGCCACTTTTACAGGCATTTTCGGAAGCACGAGCTGCAGCAATTGAAACGTTTCGCATCATTGATGAGGTAAAGATGAATATAGAACCATTTTAATTCTTGAATGTATTCTCGCTAACTTCACATAATTTAGAAATCCGAAGCAAATATCAATGAAGATGAGATATGGGACGCTAAGGAATCAAAGCAAGAAGATATTGATATTAACGGCGATATTAAATTTAATGAGGTGAATTTCACCTATCCAGTTCGCCAAGATGTACAAATTTTAAAGAACCTATCACTAGTAGCTCGTGCTGGTGAAACGACTGCTTTAGTAGGCTCAAGTGGTTCTGGTAAGTTACATACAAAGAACATCTATATCGAAAATTTTATTGTGTCGGAAAATTATCAGGAAAGAGTACATGTATATCACTCTTACTTCGATTTTATGAAGCTTCGTCGGGTAGCATCACGATCAACGACCGATCCATCCGCGATCACAATCTCAAGAAACTTCGGCAACACATCGGAATCGTTAGTCAAGAGCCTGTAAGTTGTCTTCTTCCCTATTCTCTTTCAAAGTCATAATTTGAGTAGATTTTGTTTGCAACAAGTATCTACGAGAATATTCGTTATGGAAATGAAAATGCAACGAGAGCTGAAGTTGAAGAATCAGCAAAGCAAGCTAATGCGCACAATTTTATTATGCAACTACCTAATGTTTCTAATTGATAATTATATTTCTATATTTTTCTGATTGTGTATCTATTTTTTCTATAGAAATATGAGACATTAGTTGGAGAACGTGGTATTCAGTTAAGTGGTGGTGAAAAACAGCGAATAGCATTGGCTCGTGCTCTTATTAAGCACCCTTCTATCTTGTTGTTAGATGAAGCAACGAGTGCACTTGATAATGCCAGTGAAAAAATTGTTCAAGAAGCACTCGATCGGGCAAGTCAAGGTTGAAGCATTTTATGTTCTTTTTTATATTATCCTTATATCTTGATAGATCGTACAACTATTGTCATCGCTCATCGTTTGAGGACAATTCAAAATGCTCATAGGATTTATGTACTAGATAAAGGACGTGTGATTGAGCAAGGTACACACGCCACATTACTGGAAAAAGAAGGAGGTCGATATCGAGACATGATCAAATGCCAGATGACACAGGAACCAGATGATGACAATGAGATAGAAATAAGCAAAGAAGAAATCGAAAAAGAAAGAAAATCAAGTCTGTAGCTATTCTTGACGATATAGCTTTTACGATTGATATAATTGTGTAATGATATAGGTGAACGTTCTTATCTTCTTAGCGATAACGAAAATACTTCTGAAGCTCAAGTATGCATTGGAATATAGTGGTTTTGAAGCACTGTTTTAAGTTTCTTAATTTTTTCAGAAGACAAAAACACCAATAAGTGAAAAAGTCATCTTTTGCAGATTGTTGTCTATGAACAGTTCCGAATGGATTACTATTCTTATTGGTTGTATAGCATGTCTTATTGCCGGAGCGACTATGCCAGCCATTGCCATTTTACTTGTAAAGCTAGTCATGGTAATTCATTTTCGGTTGTTGCAAAAGTTCTTGGACAAATGCCAGACTCTGTTAAATTTAGCCATAAAACGACAGAAATTTTATTCGTTTTTGTTGTTAGATAGAGCGTGACTTCTACTCTGAGAGGACATGTCTCATAGACTTTTGTTCATACACTAGTAGCAAAACCAATTCTGTTTTCCAAAGCTGCTAAAAAACATGCCGCGAATTTTTGCATTTTGTATTTGATTTATTCAAAAGAGAGTTTAATATCTTGTCTTAGATGCAAAATTGTAGACTGCTTTTTACACGTTATGTGCAAAATGCTATAAATTTTTACACATATACGAATCATCGATCAGAGTGATTGTTGTCGTTTATTGTTTGCCGAAAAAAACTAATTGTTGCTCTTTACTGGAAGCGGGTACATCAATGGCTCAGAGCCTTATCACGTTATATATCCTTCACTCGGAATTAAAACAAGATCGACTACAGCAGACCAAGTTTTTCCTAAACTATTCGAATATGCACAACAAACTGGTCAAACTCGTTGTTCTAATGAAATTGAATATCTGAAACTGTAAAACTTCTTGTAGCAGAATGTTTCGCAAACTATGCCGGCACTCTTTGAAGAAACTGAATTGCGGGAAAACAAAATCTGTTCGAGCTGAAAATTTTTTCTCTAAATAATGGTCGAACAGTTATACAATATCGAAGTCATTTTTTGCTCACAAGTACGTGTCGTTGTTGATATATGTTATCTGTTGACTGTTAAAATCTTTGACATCCTGCGTTTTATTGGTTTCATAAAAACGGAAATATGTTTTGCTACTAGCGTATGAATAAAAATCTATGAAGCATGTCCATTCAGAGTAGAAGCCACACTCTATCTAACAATAAAAGGAATCAACTTTCTGTCGCTTTCAGGCTAAATACAACAGAGTCTGACATTTGTGTAAGAATTTTTGCGATACCCGTTAATTATGATACATCTGTTTCCCTTAGACATTCAACAGCTGCTCCTATTCTACACAATTACGTGAAATGCTCATTTACGGCTTTGTTGCTGCAATATTAGGTATTGTGACAATGGTCATCCGTTTTTTTCAAGTAAGAATAAGTAGGATCAAATTTATCTTGATTTGTCTTATGCACTTAAATAGTTCTGGAGCTTTGGTGTAGCCGGTTCGATTTTGACCTATCGTATTCGTGCTAAAGCATTTTCATGTTTTCTTCGTCAAGAAGTTGCTTATTTTGACCGAGAAGAAAATAATTCTAGTGCTATATGCGCCCGTCTCTCATCTGATGCGTTGGCAGTTCAACAAATGACTGGAATACGATTAGGCGTCATCTGTGAAATGATTGCCATGATGACTTTTGCTTTGATAATTGGCGCGTGTTTCAATTGGCAGATAACGTTCATTGTTTTTGCACTTCTTGTATTTAGCATTTTTTTTGCATACGTTTTCATTATTACTCAAGCACAAATGGTTAAAAAGTGTGAGCTATTCTCAAGACGGACAAGTTTGGTAAGATTGAATTCTTGATAATCAACTGCTAGACACTAATCAACTCTATCAAACGTGGGTGCTCTACTAGCTGCATATATGACAGAGCATATAGGATCAATGTTGACTTCTCTTTCTTTCTAATAGCTTTTTGGCGAAGTCATTTACAATATGCGTACAGTAAAACAGTTGGCAATTGAGAAAACAATGTTACAACAATTTTCCAAGCTGATGTGCCAATCATCCAAGTAATTTCTTAAGTTTCTTTGATCTTCATTTTCCGCAATAATACTTCTTTAGACTTATTCGGAATTACTCAGTATTATTAGGATTTTCATATGCTTGCGTTTGGGGACCTGTTCCAGTTACTATAGCAGCTATTTATTGGCGTGCACTCGTCTTGATTGAAAATGGCAAAATGACAGCAGATAGCATAATCATGTAATAAAGAATAATCCTGCAATTTATAAAACCTTATAATAATGCTTACGGTTGTTTTAGAGTCTTTGCTTTCGGTACTTTTGCCGCGCTAGGTATTCGTACTATCGCGGGTCTGTAAGTAGCCAATACTTTCTTTTCATTCTTCAATAAGTACTATTCAGACTTGATTATGTGGGTTCTTCACTATCAGCTGCTCAAAATTTCTTTGATTTATTTGATCGTATACCAGCCATCGACAGCAGTTCAACAGAGGGTCAAAAACTAGTAAGTAGACATAATATTAAAAGACCTTGATGAATAGTGCACTCATGATGTATATATCTGAATGTAAAATGTGGGATATTTGGTCATCTATTGTTTAAGTCTCCTTACTATTCAAAAAATTACATAACCATATAGGTCTTTTCTAAACTGAAACTCAGTAATATTTAACAAACATGATATATGTAGACTGACTTTCGTGGTGAGATCGAATTCGACCGTGTCGATTTCTTCTATCCATCGCGGCCACAAACAATTATTTTGAAAAAGTTTTGTTTATCAATGAAACCTGGTAAGTAAAATTTGTGATTCAATGCCTGTGAATTATTTGTTGATTTCCTATTTAGGTCAAAATGTAGCACTTGTTGGTATGCATTTATTAATTGCTTATTTCTATCGATTGAATATATTCTATTGCTATTTAGGTCAATCCGGTTGTGGCAAGTCAACAATTATTCAGCTCTTACAAAGATTCTATGACGTATCGCATGGTCAAGTGGTGAGTCATATGTTGTATTTCATGCAACTATTCTAATACTAATTTTCTCAATGCAATATAGCGCCTCGATAATGTAGATATTAGAGATATCAATATTAACTCGCTCCGCTCTTATTTCGGTCTTGTAAGCCAAGAGCCAATATTGTTCAATTTGACGATCGCAGAAAATATAGCCTATGCTCAAGAAAACATTTCCATGGAAGCTATTATTGAAGCAGCTACGGAAGCCAACATTCATCAATTTATTCAGCAACTACCTATGGTAAGTATAAAAAAGAGGCACTCAACATTCATGTTTACCTATTATATCAGGGCTATGAAACGAAAGTGGGCATGAAAGGAAATTTATTGTCAGGTGGCGAAAAGCAACGTATTGCCATCGCTCGAGCTTTTCTTCGACAACCAAAAATATTACTCTTAGACGAAGCAACTAGCGCCATGGATGTATACAATGAACAAGTTTGTTTTATATTTTATCTTTTAATTAAAAACATCTTAATTCTTCGTAGATCGTGCAAAAAGTTCTTGAGCAAGCACGAGTAAAAGATCCAAATAGGACAACGCTCACAATTGCTCATCATATCTCAACGATTCGTTCATGCGATTCTATATGTGTACTTCACGCAGGACACTTGATTGAAAGCGGTCGTCACGAGGAGTTGATGCAACGGCAAGGAGCCTACTATAGAATTGTAACTTCAAACAGTTCCCAAAGTTAAAACTCAAATGATTATTACTTTTTTAACCGAAGACATTGTTTAGAGACCTATTATTGCTTTTTACAAAGTGACTACGCACGAAGAAATGGACAGTCTTCCCTAATGAAAATACTCATCAAGCGAGTACGACTTGCCAGCATGAGTACTCGGATTACTCGCTCGAGTAGTCGAGCATTTTTATGTATAATTATACTTTTCATGTACTCGGGCAAGTAGGGTGGGTGGGTGTGGGTGAATGTGGGTGGGTGTGGATGTGGGTGTGGGTGTGGGTGAGGGTGGGTGGGTGTGGGTGTGGATGTGGGTGTGGGGTGTGGGTGTGAGTGTGGGTGTGACTCTTCTCTTCTCCTACGATTATACCTACACTCACACACTAACATATCCATACCCACAGCCGCAGCCACACCCTTTGTAATCTAAAATCGCAATCGATTTTAACAAAGTGGTAAGTTGTCCTTTGTTTCACAGTCAATATGAAAAACTGTATTCTAATGCACAATTATTTATCGTCATTTAGAAAATAAAGTTAGAACGAATCTTCATTAATATGTTTAAGAAAATTTAATTTCATCCGAGAAGTTAATAGTTGAGCATGAAAAGCTGCTGGCCTTTTCCTTCTGAAAGTCACCATTTATCACAGTTGCATAAATGAATTTTCAGAAAAGAATAGAGGATAAAGTAGATAAGTCATGAAAAAAGCTTTTCTCTATTTTTTATTTTATTGTATCATTTTCCTTTATTGTACAACTTCACGAGATAAAAAAGCTTCCCACCGACTATTTTCAGAGCCGATACAAATAAAAATCAAGTCAAAACACTATTCTAATATGTTAAATCCAAAAAACTATAAGATCGAATATATCTAAAAGCGCAAACAGAAAAATTGAAACTAGATTGATTGGAGTATCACGTATCTATTATCAAAAAACACCTTTTAGAATACGTCAAATTCAATAAATTTTAGTTTACTACGTAATATCTTAGTTATTTAGCTACTTGTTAGCGAGTCTATCTAAAGTAATCAAGGAGAGTTGTGAAATATTTGACGTCAACAAAATGAGTAATTATCGAAGATGATCATTGCTGTTAGTGATGGTAATATTTGTTATCTTCAATTTTGTTGTCATCAAATGATGTCAAACAAATGATGACATATTTATTTATCTTATCTCATAGGCTCTCGTCCTTAAAATATGCTTACGAAAAAAAACACTTGTATATATAAATCATTAATATTCTAAAGTGTAACTGAAAACTAAGTAAATTAAATATGGGCAACAGTAACAGTAGTGCAATTGCAATTAATCTTGATCGAAACAATTTGTTTTATTTTTCTGGTGAATACGTATCTGGAAAAGTCGACTTAAATATCATAGAAGGGAAACTAGAAGCAGACGAAATCTATATAGCATTAACAGGTGAAATTGGTTATACAACAACTCGAACTGTTTCAACGGATAGAGGTCGAACATCAACACGGACTGAATATCATCACGTTCCATTTTATTCTGCTAAAGCTATTTTTGCTCGACGTGAACCTGGACAACAAGAATTAGTTTATGGTCAAGGACAATATTCATGGTCATTTCAAATTCCATTAACTGATTATCTTCCACCAACAATAAATCAACCTCAATCTTATCCTCATGTTCGATATTATTTACAAGTTGTTATTGATAAACCATGGTATAAACCAAATACAAGAGAAACAAGATATTTAACAATATTTCCACGTGTTAATTTATTACAATATCCTCAATGTTTATTATCAACTATATTTGGAAATCAAAATAGAAAAGATATAACATTAAAAGGTACTTTAAATAAATTAGGATATGTTCTTGGAGAATCAATTTATATGACATTAGAAATTGAAAATCCACGAAGAGTTTTAATTCAACGTATTGATCTTTCAATGTTACAATCATATCGAATTGGACAAAATTCACGTGGATATACTGTATTTCAAACAACATTACCAAATATTCTTAATTTCAAAGATTACCAAATAAGAGAAACATTTTCTATAATAATTCCTTCTGTGCCGATACCACCTTCATATCAATTTCAAGGAGGAATTCAAAGATTTGCTCTGGTTAATATTTCTTATATGCTTAGATTTGCAGTTAAAGTTGAAGGAATTTTTACTAATTTTGATGTTAATATACCAATTACATTGGGAACAGAACCACATCCTGATCTAAATCAACAACAAACATTTAATCCTGTGATCGTTTCTTATTTTTCAAAACCTGAACAATCCATGTTTAGTGATGATGATTTACCGCCGAACTATGACTCTAGTGTGCAACAAAATAATAAATAATTTCTTTTACACATAAAAGATTGAAATTTTATTTACCTATCATTTTCCCGCTTTTTGTTTAATCTCATCAGCATCATTAATAAAAATGCGTAAAAAAGGCATGTCTACCAACATGATTATGTTTTTTGTGCTACTAAAAATACAGCTATACAGAAACGCAAAAAAATATGCTAGGGGTAGCAAATGCAATGGTTCTTTTCTTGTTGATTTTTGAGAAGAAAGAAAAGGTAAGATATTTTTAACATGTGCTTGATTGCAGCAATATTGAAACACACATGATCAAAGTAAAGTTGCATTACAGATCTTTAGTTGAAATAACAATAGAGCAAGAAGAAAGGACATGAATAACCAGATCAGTGCAGCAACACATGAATCAGTCAATCTTATGAGGAATGCATATCTAAAAGATATTATGAATGTCGAAGATGAAGAATTAACTTATCTTAACAGTGTACTCAAACTCCAATATAAAACAAGAAAACTTATCCTCAATGGTAATACGCCATCAGTAGTGATTGATGACTTTCTTTATCATGGTGATATGAATCACGCAACTAATGTAAACTTGCTGAAAAATCTCGGTATTAAACATATCATTAACACATGTAACAGTCCTTTACCAAAATCAGTTACTGAAAAATTTAATGTTCTATGGATCAATGTCCTTGACGATATCAATACAAGTATCAATCAATATTTCGAACAAACAAATGACTTTTTGCATTTATGTAAACAGAAGAATGATAAAGTATTAGTTCATTGTCATATGGGTATATCTCGTTCATCATCCATTATTCTTGCTTATCTAATCAAGTAAAATTTATTTGAGAATATAAAATCTTTTAATGATATGATTTAAGGTATCATCATGACACTTTACTTGAAGCTTATGACTATTTACTCGATCGACGTCTTTTTGCTGCACCTAACTATGGCTTCTTTATCCAATTGATTCGATACGAAAAGAAGTTGCACAAGAATCCAGCGATTGTTGAACGACAGAATATCGGCAATAAAAAGAACACAATCAAATCAACGGTATAGAAAGATAGACACAATTCGTTTCAAAGATTGGTTAAAAACTTTCCACCAAATTTGTTACAATTCATTAACAGATATTATAAACATGAATATAAGAGAAAACTAAGTAAAGCACTTAGCTTATTTTATGCAGATGAACATTTCATACTTGTGAGCTAGAAAGAAAAATGAAATTGGAGAGGAATCAATATGTTGTCGTTATTACTAAAAACTTGATAGACAATGATAAAACATGAAACGAGGTACTTCATTGTTTAAATGATTTCCTTTATTCATTGGTTGAATGTGGCACATCACACAACAGTGTGAGGATAAATGGTGTGATTAAAATAAAAAGCAACCGATGTACACGATCATAAATGATAATACGTTTCAATGCTAGAAAACCATCATTTTTGGGTGTGGGTGTGCGTGTGGGTGGGTGTGGCTGTGGGTGTGAGTGTGGGTGTGGGTGTGGGTGTGGGTGTGGGTGTGGGTGTGAGTGTGTGGGTGTGGGTCTGGGTCTGGGTGTGAGTACAGATCTTCAATTCACCAACACCCACACTCTAACCACATCCACACTCACACCCATATACACCCACGTCCCACACACCCATACCCATACCCACAAGCCACACCATCCACATTCTAGCCACACCCACACTCACCCATATCCACACCTACACCACCCAGAGAATAAAAAAATGAAAAAAATGACATTTTTTTCATTCTTTTTACATGAAAGTCATCATTCTTGTTCCTTTTTTTTTATCCCATGGGCATCCACACTCTAGCCACACCACACCCACATTCTAGCCACACCCACACCCACACCACCCATACTCTAGCCACACCCACACCCACACCCTCCGAATATGGCTTGTAATGAAGTAAAAAAAGTGTCGTTTTCGGATGGTAAGATCAAAATATGGCATATTGAGCGTGACTAAGGTGATCGAAATATCAAGAAATAATTCTCTTTCAATATATGTTTTTCTTCGATTAATACAAAGCCAACGGATCCAACTTCATTCATGACAATCTCTTTGCCACATCGTAGGTGCCCCATCAACCGATCACTAGTCACACCAGGTATACGTTCATAGTCAACAATAACAAACAGTCCGTTTGGTTTAAGAGTAGTACGAATTGATTTTAATATTTCCATTGGATATTCAAAATGATGATACGTATCAATGCAATATACGATATCGATTTTATGTGCCTGTATGACTGGATGAGTAAGTGTATGCGGTAATGATTGTATTATATGAATATGTGCTCTCTTATCAGTATTGTTTAGTCCATTCAATCGTTCAATCATATACTGACAGAATTTAGCGGATGTTTCTGCGCATATCAACGTACCATTAGGCCCAAGTCGTTCAGATACTAATTCCATAAATAAACCTGAACCTGCACCTAAATCAACGACTGTTTGACCTTCAATCAATGGTAATTCACTGCATAGTCGATTACGTTCAACAAATAATTCACGACTTTCAGTTTCAAATCTGCTTATGTCTACTGTGGCTGGTATGGATGAATCATTGAATGATGCATTGATACTTGGATTGATAGATATAAGCTCCGACAGTTCTGATGATGATGGCATCATGATCTACAAATTTGATGAAAAAAACCGTTCATTTTCGATAAAAATGCAACATAATATTAAGAGCCATTAGCTGAAAGAACCCGACAGTTACTCTGTGGATGTCACAAATTAAAAGGACATTCATGTCAATTGTAGGTCTATATGTAACTAGATAACGGTATGAATAGTATCATGTAAAACTGCTTCGTTCTCGAGATATAGAGAGCGCAAGAGATGATACCACAGATGGATCATTTTCATTACGTTGTAAATTAAGTTTTTTTTGACCTATGAGTCACTGCATGAGAATCATGACCAAACTTGTACAAGTGAAGCTCTAAATTCGTTTCAAACTTAGCATGTCTTGTTGTCCATCGTCTGTTAGGCAGATAGCCAAAGTTTTAGATATGTGGGTACTTTTCTTACAGAACAGTCAGCATTTTTCAGAGAGCCCTCTTGGCCGACTGTCAATGCGTATTTTTGAGAAAAGATTCGATTTCTCCGAAACAGCTTGTCATATATGACTGAAAAATTTACCGTCTACATATCTCAACATCTCTATTCAACTGCATATTGAGCAGCGGTCCGCCTCTAATTTCGAAGAATTTGTCGCATCTGCGACCTGAAAATAATTACGTAGCGAAAGTTAGTACCATATTCGCGTTTTTTGGGTTAGATTGGTTTGCTAACCTGTGTTGGGTCTCAAGAGGGTTCCGTTGAATGCAGAATTTAATTTTGTGCCGAAGAATGTCATTTTCAGTGGGTATCATCGGGCATAAAATGGCCCTTCTCGGGCAAAGAACGGCGGCGCATAAGACAAGAAATCGACCCACTCACTTTTTTCGACCTATCGTATCTCACTTGAGAACGCGGACTATCAGTTTCGGTCGTTCACAGATGTTAGAACCACTCAGCCAAAATAGAACTCTTGATTTACACGTGAGACTCAATAACTAGATTTTTGTCTCTGTGGCAAAACATTTATAGCTCATGCTTTATATCAAAGCGTAGGCCACACTCGGATGTATTTAGACAACAGATTTTATGTTTCTAAACGATTCATTTTCCTAAGATGTTTCTCAACATTTTTTTACTTCCTCCAGGTTGTAGCTCGTAAAATTCTGATGAAAATCAGATGTTTTTCAGTTTTGTACGTGGTTTAAATCTGCGACATCAACAATCACTGCCTAGCAGAATCTACTGAATAACGCCTATTCACGTAGTGGATATTTTTTCTATGTCAGAAGGGCATGCAAAATTGGTATCAAAACTCATTTTTCAGGTATACATAGCTGAAAATGTTAATTTTCAACGAGAAACAAATGTTGGAATTTCAAAAAAATCAAAAGTACTTTAGAATGGTCATTATCCAAAGTTTTTAGTCTCAATTTATCTCTATGAAAACTTCATACATAGTTCAATGAGATGATTGCGAATGCGTGATTTTTATCTATCAAAACTGTTTTTTGAGAGAAAAACATGAGAGTTTTGGAAAATCTAATGTGAGGCCCAGCAAGATCTGGGCTTGGTTCATAGGATGAATAGATATAGAAGAACTTGTGCAGAGTTTGAGCTCTATTAAAAGAGTGAAAAGGAGTACAGATTTATTACCCTAACGAGGAAAGGTTCTTAACTGATACCCTTCGATTTCGATGATCGTTTGCCGATAGATACTATATGATATCCTAGTCTTAACTGCCAAATGATTTGGTTGTATAGCTCTTCTTTCGAAAGTTATCGATTTTGTAAAGATTGACCACTCGAGATTCTAATTCATCATTGTTTAATTTTCGAAACTCATCTACATGTGTGCTGACAAGCCAAAATCTTTTTAAACACCTATTCATATAGCGAAAAGTGTTCTCTTCAAAATGAGACGTTGCTTAGCCTTGTGCGATATCCTCATCAAAATTCACAAGGATTTTTCTAAAAGCACCTAAAACTATGTTTTTCTCATTTTCTTTGCGGGCATGGTAAATTCCTCTTTCCAGGAAATTCAAATTTCATCGCATGAATAGTAAACCAAACACAATGAAAGAGAAGCTTTTCCTATTCTAACTCTAAACTGCTTAAAGCCACTAAAGCAAAGTATAAGATTAATAACCAAACACATGATAAGTACTTACATACTCTCATCAGCTCCCATTCAGTGATCGCTATGAGATAGATAGTGTATCCCGAAGGTGTATATAGTCTAGTAGGGTTGGGTTGGGTTGGGTGAGAAAATTTATTTTAACTTACAAGTGAGTATTTATATTTATTTGGGTTGGGTTAGTTGCATCCAACCCAAATAAATATAGATTGTCATTTGCAAGTTAAAATGAATTGTCTCACCCAACCCAACCCAACCCAAACCAAATAAATACAGATACTCACAAGTTAAAATGAATTTCCTCATCCAACCCAAGTGTATAGATGTTGAAATAAGTTGTAAGCATTTGATATCGAAATTAATTGACAGTAGTTATTTAGAAAACTTTTGACTTGAATTTCTAGGAAAATTTCCTCAGAGTCAATTTATTTGAATTTCCTGGAAAGAGGAACTTGACATGGTGTGCTTTCTTTCATTCCTCTATGTTGGTTTTTGTCTTGCAGTATTGCGTGATTCCAAGATTTCTTTGCTATTTGAAGTGCTGAAAATCTCAGGTTGATCTTGAAACCTAGCCAACACTTTTTTTTCTATGGCGGAAAAGAACTCGATTTTCGATATTTTTCTCTATAGCGTTAAAATCAAAGCCAAACTTTATTTCCGTTAGACATGCGGCAAAAACATCAAGATTCAACGATAAAATCACTTTTAATTATAGAACTGAATTCAATGGGAGGAATCTATTATATCGTTTTTTAGTCTGTTGTTCTAGCCTCAGATTTTCGATTGTGGCAAGTAAAATAAACGACTTTGATTAGTATGAAAAGTTAGTAATGAATTTGTGCTGTACCGGCATATAGAAGAAAGCAGAAAAGAGCATTTTTTGCTAAATATTTGCATGAAGAAATTACTTAAATTTAAACATGCATTTCACTTTACTTTAACTAGTTAAGTAAAGATAAACTGCCACCCTTAGGCCAGTTTATTATCTTTCTCATTCTTCTTACCTATACTTCACCTGTTCGACAAAAGACATCCAATGAAGATGACTGTTCTTTCTTACATGGCTTTTATCCTTACATGAAGTAAAAGATCACAATCGTTATTTCACCTTTTGCTATATTGATAAAAGCTAAATCACAAGAAATGCGGTTGTAGTACACATTCTTTATTGCACAACAACATTGACACTTACCTCGCTTAACATCACTTGAAATATACATGCCACTTCACACTACCCTATGTTTTTTTGTTTCGACATTCGTGGGCATGGATTTTTCTTCTTCATTTTCCTCGTTCTGCGGATGAATTTCGTTCTACTCATCGAATAGTTCCTGTCCGACTTGATTGAACAGATTTTCTCATTGAAAGGGAACTTCTTGAGGGTGTGTGGGTGTGGATGTGGATGTGGGTATGGGTGTGGGTGGGGTGTGTGGGTGTGGGTGGGGTGTGGGCGTGGTGTGAGCGTGTAGGTGTTGATCAACATCTACGCTGCACACCCACACCCACCCACACACCCCACACCACACTCACACCCACACACCCCACACCCAACACCACACTCACACCCACACACCCAC